TGACAATTGCCCACTACATATTAAGAAAAACAACTTATAATGGATCTAACATAACAATCACTAAGCATATAAAGTTAATTTTAAAAAAAAAAACAATTTCATCACAACTGAGAAATGTTATACCATGTAAAACTTAATAAAAAATGCATTAAAAAAGAAGAAAGAGTTTTTTAACATGCCACATTCTAAAAATATAGACAATATCTTTCCAAATCAATAGAGAAGACAAACTAAAGTGATAGTGCTACTTTCCTATCACCGCATAAAAGAAGCAAAAGCTCTTATAAAAATGTTGTAGGAAAAGTACATTTTATTGTAAACTTGCAAGTATTATAAACATTTTTCAATTTGGAGAACATGGCAACTTTCTTCAAGATATCAAATTCTAGTTAAGATTAGGATATAGAAAATTAGTTCTCACCAAAAAAGTTTGAAAACCAACAAAAATGTTGCAGTTAAATGACCTGTAGCTCGTTAAAAAAACAAAGTTGAGTTGTAAAAGAACTTAAGATGTCTCATACTCTCCATAACAGATAAAAGATATATTTTTGTTTAGTTTAATTAGGCTCAAATTTACCAAAAGTATCATTTCAATTCAAACACAAATGTCCTTTTAGTAATTTTACAACATTCGTAGAAGTTCTTTCACACTTAATCAGACATCACTAAGTTGGCCCCAAGAGTAGAACTTAAACATCAATTGCAAAATACTTTCCCAAAGGACATAGACAAGAAACCCTATAAATTTGAAAATGAAATCTGTGAGAGCACATTACAAGACCTTTCATAAAATCATTCTTTTTTTATCATTCCCATGATACCAAAATAATAAAATCAACACTTCTAACAATGGTATCTCAGATGAAAACTGAAAAAATCAAGAAAATTGAGAGAACAACAAACATAATCAGCTATCTTAGATGAAAAATGTAAGATTGAGACTAAGAAGTTAATAAGTAGACCAAAAAGAGAAGGTGAGGTTGGAGAGATAAAGATCAGGAAATGAGCAAACAAAAAAACCAAGAAAACCACAACATCGAACGCTTGTAGCCTGCTGGAACGCTAAAGTGGAGATCAAGGAGAGAATATAATGTCGGAGAGATAAAGATCAGGCAATGAGCAAACCAGAAAATTGAGAAAACAACACCACCGAACGCTTCTAGCCCGCCATAACACCAGAGCGGTAGTTCGAAAATGGCAAAGGGGAGAACACATAGGATCACATTGCCTGAGACCAGAAACGAAACAGGGAGTGAGCTTGATAGTGAAACTCAAGACGAGAGCGATTGTGGGAATGAAAAGAGTTAGGGTTCAACAAAAATCGATAGCCATCATCCTAACGAACACTTAAGTCGCGAGCCGCGGGAGCAGAAGACTCAATTCAACTATCGTAGGAGAGGACGGTGAATATAAATTTTGATCCGATCACAATATTAAGCGATTTGATTCGACAACAGATAGAAATCAGATCGAAAATTATTCGATCCAAAGGTTTGGCTCTTAGGTCAACTCGTTCTGTTGGATCAGACCTCAATTCGAGCTCAAATTCGAATCAATTTTTGAGCGATTAACGATCTTCAGCTAATTTATAGCCCTAGCTGCATTGAGATGAAAGGTAATATATGAGTTGTATGTTATCTTTATTGGGAATTAAGTGAGACCTAATTTAAATCACTAAGAGCAATATAAACAAATAAAATATTACATTTAAAAATACTAATTTTTTTTTAACAAATTCCCCCAATTTATGGCTATAGATTTAACTATGATGAAGGCTATATATTGGAGCTTCACATCACCTCTTTTATTCTATAACTTTTTTTCTAATCTCCTTGCTATAAAAATCATAATGATGGGGCCTCTTTTATGATGAGAAAATTAGGACAATAAATTTAGAGGCATTTACATACATGCCACCCAATTATTATATATTTACATATCTAACATCTAATTTTACTTTCTACATTTATACCACTCAAATCTGTAATGTCACCTAAAAAATATCAATATTTTAGCTTATAAAAAATGAAATGCATCATTTATGCATAGTTAAGGTGGCATATGCATAAAATGTAAAGTTTGGGTGTTAGATTTGTAAATACATGAGTTCAGTCGTATGCATGTAAATCTTCCATAAATTATATGTGAAACCTTCAAAATAACCCTACTTTAATAAGTCCCAAAGATTGGATAATTTCTAGCAGCCCACTCCCCAAATGATTTTAGGCTTCATTTGAGAAGACATTCAAGTTCCATTTAATTGCTCTGAACGCCAAGATCTAGATTTGTGTTTGTTTGGTAAGCCAGCATCTTCCGATGCCTCCCGAAATTATTTCTCCGCAACGTAAATATTTTACCTTTTCAGCACTCAGAAAACAATTTTCGTTTAACCACGCGACTTTTAAAGGGCACCGAATTTAAACGAAACTTTATTTTATTTCGACGAAGCTCCTTTAAACGAAATCTTATGTGTTTAATGTTTTTTATGTTTTTAATTTTTTGAATCCAATAGGTCATGGTACAACACCCTTCCACAACCAAATTTTGCTAAGCCTATCTTGGCTATCATTAAGATTAAACTATGATGCAAATATTTTACCAAGCATAAATAAAGAGGAAAATCTAAGATTTCAATTTTCTTGAAGTGAAAAAATTTTCCCCTTTTTTTAGCTTCTTGAATTGAATATATATATATATATATATATATGACCAAAATATAACATTACTATTAAATCAAAACATGATTACAAGGTTTGCATCTAATATAAGGGATATCTAGATTATCCCGATATAATAAAATCCTTAAAGCAGAACAAGGCGTTGTGCTTAAAACACTCTTTCCAGAAAAATACGATATTTAGCAAGCCAATTTACAGGTTGATTCCCTTCCCTTGGGATGAAGCTCCAAATGGTATGAGTATTACAGATAGTAGCATTGATCTTCTTTACTAGTCTGTCAATTTCGAAGGAATATCAATTTGTCCTTTTAACATATGTATCAATAAGAAAGAGTCATTGTAATAGCTTCCAACTCATCTTAGTTGCAATTTTTAGTGCCCAATAGCAGTCAGGGCTTCAACCGCTAGTGCACAGTCGACATGTATAGGAGATTGGAAAAACAGTAAGCAAGAACCTGAACTTTCTTTGAAGGCACTCCCATACTTGTAGAATCTCTAGTATAACTTCCATCAGTGTTAATCTTAATCCAAGGTGTTTTGGGTTTTCTCCAAAATACTTGTACCAACAATTTCTTCTATTTCTGTTTCAGTCCAGCTGTTGCTTTATTTCGCTGATCAATTGGGTTGTTGTACTCAGTAAAGTTACATAGTATGGTAAGTTTGATTATATAAGCCATGCAGTTTGCCACTACCTCAACTTCCCTTCCTAACTTATTATCCTACTTGATAGTATTCTTTGTCATCCAAATAAACCAAGCAACAATAAAAAGAATAATTTCTAGCTTTTTTTATCTTCTAGTCCTAGCATTTTGTTAGAATTATCCAAATCATTTCCAGATGTTGAATTTGTTGATGCACTATGATCTTCTTCCAAACCATTTGATCAAAATGACATGAGAAAAACATATGATTCAAAATTTTCTCCTCTCTCCTGCATAGCAAGCAGCATGAAGGCCCTCCCAATCCTTTCAGCTTTAGGATATCATCAGTTGGTAGTAAATTGTTGAAAGTTCTTCAACAAAAAAAGACATGGCAGGTGTTAAGTATTTATTCCATATGGCTTCTCCTCATTCCACCCAATGGCATGTAAAATTCTCCTTATGAATGTATTTTGAAAGAGAGTGGTTGTTAGAATTATTAGGGATTATTTTGTCCTTACTTTCCCTATTAATCTTTCCCTATTAATTGGAATATTGACAATTTAATTGACCAACTGCTGATCAACTAAAGATCTTAGTTTATTTAGATCCCACTGATCACCCAACCAACATTCACATACTTTCATACTATTGGGCATATCATTCTGATTAGGATAATAAAATCAACCATCAAACGTCCAATTGTCTAACCAGAAATCCACCTGCCCTTCACCAATATCCCAAACAAAATGATCTTCTGCCTGATCTACGACTTTCAAAAAATTCACCGAGGTTTTAGATTCATTGGTTTTCTTTTGTAACTTGGAAGGGTGGCTATCCCTGTAGTATTTGTTATGCATATACTGAGAACATAGATATTCTTTCATTCTAAATTTGATCCAAAACTTGCAAAAGTTAAGGTGGCCGAGTGTTAGAAATTCTTGAAGCCCAATCCACCAGCCTCAAGTGGTTTGTAGACCTTCTTCCAATCAGTCCAATGCATTTGTTTCTTCTGTCCGGCCCATAAAAACCTGTAAAATTCATTTCCAATAGCTTTTGTGTACTCCTTTTCATCTTCAACATTTGCATTATGTATAATGGAAATGAAGCGAGAATGCTCTTTAAGAGTGTGATCCTGCCCCTACTAGAAAGAAAAGAAGCAGGCACATTAAGCAAGAGTGCATTTTCTTCAAAGGAAGAAATCCTCTCAATTCAACCAAAAGCAAAGCACCACATTGAGAAGAAGACATTCTAACTTAACATTACAACAAGGGTACACGAAAGATCTTCGTGTCTCCATGATTTCTCAAAAACAAGAATAAAAAAAACATATATACAATTCTGAAGCACAAAGACAATGTAGAAAAATAGAATAAAAGATTAATTCGAATTCTAATCGGGGGCATTTACATTCATACCACCCAATTCCTATGTATTTACATATCAAACACCGAAGATTTGCCTTTTAAAATTTTACCACCAAAATCATTTACATTACATCAACAATACCACCATTTTAACTTTTAAAAAGTGAAATATATCTTTTTCACGCATAAGTAAAGTGATATGTAGGTAAAAAATAAAGTTTAGGTGTTAAATATGTAAATGCATGAATTGAGTGGTATATGTAAATCTCCCTTCTAATTTATATTACCACAACCAAACAAATTTATTTAGATTGATAAATGTAAGCTGCATATGTATAGCTTTTTAAATTGTTGAGAAACAGCCTTAAAAAATAATACATCTGAGGATGAATAAATGCCTCTCAGTAAATAGAGCTACAAATGCAACAAACATCACCATATAACTTCAATAAACCTGCAACTCAAAGAAGAAAAAACGCCTAAGCTAGTAGCTAAAAAGTAGATCAAATGAAGCTGAGTATTTTCATTAAGGGGAGGGACTCCAGTGAGCCTAAAGTCCACCGCCCAGGAACAAGGAGCTCGAGCTCTCGAGAATATGATGGCCGAGCATCAGCTCCTGCTTCGGGCTATCACGGTCTCCCTGCATCTTAACAGAGCGTTCGTGTTTCGGGCTTCCGGACGGCGAGCCCGTCTCCGGAGTGAGCGGCCCGTGATGGGAGTCCTCGAACGAAAAGCTCTTAAAGAGACTACCATGGAGAGAAGATTTGGTGACTGGAACAGGGGTGGAGGGATCACTCTTATCTTCTAGAGTTTGGTTGGTCGAGGTAGGTGCTAATCCACCGCTAAGCCGCTGCTGCTCTTCCATGATCTTTTTCAGATATTTTCCTTGAGCTTCTATCCTAAGCTGCAGCTGCCTTTGAACCTGAGAGTGAGTTGGTGTGGATAGATTGCCATTAAAAAACTGATTAACAAAATGCATCATTTATGTGACAGATTTGACTAGTTGGCATGAAATAATTTTAAAGAAATGCATCGTTTAATGTCATGGTTCCATGCAGGCTAATAGTGCTGTCAAAACGGCTCGTTGTTCGCGAACAACTTGTGTTTGGCTCGTTAAGAAGCTCGTGTTCGGCTCGAAATACTACTCATCAATTATATTTATATATATTAATAAGTATTATTTTTAAAAAAATTAATTAACTACAAAGCTACAAATATTTATAATCAATTAAAAGTATTAATTAAGAAAATAGAATAAAAATTATTAAATTAGATTCAAATGATGTTTCAATATAAATAATAATTTTTAAGTCTTACCCTAACCCTTAACATCTTATGGCTATGTGATTATGATGGTCAAAAAGACTCTTTGTTCGTGAACAGCTCGTGCTCGGCTCGCTAAACAAACAAGCCAAACACGAACACACTTTTTGAGCTCGAAATATAAACGAGCGCTCGCTCGTGTTCGGCTCGTTTACACCCTTACGACCAATGAGCCTAAGGAGAAACCATAAGGACCACTTTCCGTTACCAAATGAAATCTCAATATAACAAAAAACGGGACAAAATTGCTTGTAGCATGATGATCTGCATTGTTTTCTTCAGGTGTAGTGTAAAGATTTTAATTTAGTCTAGTCAATGATTGAAAATGTTTGATCACAATATAAAACATAAAATCTAAGCAAAGGTAAACTTTACCTCTAGTTGCTCGTGTAGCCGTTTTTGTACCTCCATCTGCAACTTTAGGGCTTCAGTTATCTGCATCCCTCTGATAACAAAAATAAAGATGTTACCTCAATAAATTAGAGTCTATTTTAAAAGCATATTACTTATACAAAAGTGAAAAAGGAAAAGTAGAGGCCACGGATTCATTTGATTACAAGAAAACACCTTTATCACAAATTCATATACAGAGAAAGGAAAGAAAACACCAACAGATTGCTCCCTCGGCATCAATGGCAACACCTAATGGATCAAACAACGGGAAAACTAGGGGCAGTTTTGCGTTTATTATTACAATTTTTATTTCCATTTTTTTTCCATGTAGCTTCGTATAAATATCCATTAAAAAATTAACAATCCAAGTTTTTCTTGTCATTTCTTTTCCACATTGTAACAGAGTGAGGTTTCTCCTATTTTTCAACCTTATTCTTATGAAAAGAAAAAAGAAAATATTATGAATGAAAAAAGAAAATAATGATCTCAAATTATGAAAACCTATAAAAAGAAAAAGAAAATATTGATCATCTTATGGATTCTCCCCCATAATCAAAAGACCCGAAGTATGCACTTTTGAATGAAGTTGATTCCGTAATCATGACATAATTATAGAACACTATGATGCTTCAAAACTAGTGGGTCATACATCTTCCTCAAAACAAAAAAGATGTATAAGATGCTGTCAAACAAACACATGTAGAAGTCGAAAAAGCTGCTTTCACCTATGAAATCAAAATTAATATCACAAAACCAAGCAAAGAAATATCTGTCATTAATATTTTAACACAATAAAAGTTAATTGGCTTGAACCATATTATTACCAAGATCTTAATCTGAAGCGTAACAAGATTCAGTGACGCTCAAACAACTCATTGAAAAAGAATGAGCTTTTATTTTTTTACATTACTCATTGATGATTCTGATCATGTTCATGTCCAAATTTTAAAGAGAGAACCTGTCATCTCTAAATAAATTTTTCTCACTCATACATAACTGTTGTAGGTCAATGGTTCCAAAATAACAGTTGCAGGTCAATGGAATATTTCAATTTCCTCCACATTTACCCTCAATATAATTCTATATGCCCCTCACATTGCAAAAAATCTTCTATCAATTTATATATTCAATAAACATAATTATAAGGTAATCATTATCACTAATAATTTTGTATTTCAAAACCTCGCTATGACAATTAGGCAGTGCAAGATAGAGAAAAAGATGGGATATACTATTTTGAAAACAAAACCCAATTTTCATGTTATTTCATCTTCAAGCTCAATATGAAAATCATTTTGAAACATTATTATAGGCTTAGACATCCCACCTTTCAAAAGCTTATATTTGTATGTTTCCTTTTTTTGTGAAGGTTAATATTGAGTCATTTCATCTTGATACTCATAAATTTACAGAACATCATCATCATTTTCCTGAAAGCGTTTCTAGACCCTCTACTATTTTTATTTTAATTCATGCCAATGTTTGGAGAACATAGAAAATCATTAAAATTTATTGAGCTACAAAATTTTCCACATTCATTTACAGTTGCATTCAAATGACATGAGTATATATTACAAAACAAAAATTTGACAGCAATCTTATTCCTTCATACATCTACTGTTATGACAAAAAGTCAATTTAATGTTAACTTCAAAATATTCCACAAAGATAATGCTCATGATTAATTTAATCAGGTTTTATCTTTTCTTAATAAAGAATGTATCATATATCAATTCTCTCATCCTAACACCCTATTAAAATGTGGTGATAGAAAAAATAAACTAACACATTTTGAAAGTCAATGGGACACTTCTTCTCCATGACCAAGTTCCAAATAGATATTGGGGAGAAACAACACTAATTGCCACATACCAAATTAATAAAATACCCTCAAAAGTAATTCGAACTACGTTATGTAATTTTTTCCTGCAAGTACCTTAAAAAATATTTGGGTTCATTGCTTATGTTCGCATGCACAAACAACATAAAGATAAGTTTAATTCTAAAGCACTCAAATGTGTTATTATAGGATATTTTTTTAAGAGTCAATATACAACCAACAAAAAAATCTTCACTGCAAAAGATGTTACCTTCCATGAATAGCCAAATTTGTAAATCAAACTTATCTTCAGAAAGAAAACAACTAATTGGAAAATAAATTTGATGAAATCACTCTCTTCCATTTTGAAATCTCAACCAAACTGAAATTATCATTCCCTTTTAAGTCATTTAAAGGAGAAATAAGCCCGGCAAAAAAACTCAAGAAAGCTCGTCTCAAAACTATAAAATTGATCAAGCCTTTTGACACATATTCATCACTATATATCATTTTTCAATACACATCTCTCCAATAATTTTCACCTACACATAAAGCCTTCTTTATAAATATTAACTCCAACTCTATTTAAATACCTTAGCCCCAATTTAGGGAACTAGAAAATAAGAATTAAAATAATGTATGAGAGAAAAGATATATGCCTAGGAAAAAAATCATATTTGGGATATCATTGAGCTTCTATAAGAGAAAAAATTTGTGAACTTCTATAAGAGAAAATATGGGATTTTAAAGTGGTATAAAGCAATATTAGCTGTCAAAAGGATGCACTCAATAATGTGGAATAAACTACTAAGAAACATTTACTCGTGTTGCAAAAATAAATACAATTTATATTTTAATTTCTCTTGCTATTAATCTTCAATAATTCATGCAACAATATAACGTAAAGATTCTTTTCTTATATTGAGAAATCGAAAAAAAAATTTATATGGATCTATCATAACTCTTCCACAAAAAAAAAAAAAAAAAATGATGTGCAACTTGAGAAAGTCTCTTTGTGATTCAAAATAATCCGTAAGCGTGTGACACGGGGTTGCTTGAGGAGGCCGGCCAAGCTGGACTAGCTGGGGCCGGTCAACCTTCAGCTGGACTAGCTGGGGCCGGTCAACCTTCAGCTAGACCAGCACACGCCCCCTTTCTCTCTTCTCTTCCTTTTCCCTCCAATTATTTCTTTCATTTTCTCATTAATCTCCTATTATAAGTCATTACCTATTTCTAGTTCTTCCCTTATTGATTTCTTTCTTACACCATTGCCTGATATAAGTCATAATCCCTATTATATATGGGAGTGTTTTGCTTAGGGATTTTAGTTTTAAGTGGTTATTCTGAATTCAAATTCCTGTCTGAAGCGTTTCCGCTATTCTAGGGTTGTAACTGAGGAGGTGAAGATGCTCTAGTTGTATCCTATTCCGAGGTGGTGTTGTATCTTCTTCCCTTTTCCTGTCCAGCCCTTCCTCCACCCTCCTCAGCCGCCAATCCCCCAGCATTACCCAGCCGCCCTTGCCGCCACCCATGAAACATCCTAGCCAACTGTCTAAATTTTCGCTCCTGTCCGGTTATCCTCACTAGCTATCTAGCAAGCTAGCTTGTTGTCCAACCTTCCGGCTTGCTACCCCTTCTTCCCACCTGTTGTCCCGCCTCCCCAAACCTGCTATCTGGCCCCCAAGACTTGCCATTCAACCTGCCTACAACTCTAGCAGGCCGCCACCTTGCTGCAGTCCAGGAGGACTCCCTTTTCTGCTATTGTCCTGCATGATGACCACCTTCCAACATCCTTTCTGACTCGTCCCAGCAACCGCCCAGACATCCCAGCAGCCACAATCCCCCTTCCAGCCGCTCTAGCCAGCCCTCTTCACCAGGCTATCCCTTCCCCTCCGGCTGTGTCTTCCAGCCCGGGACAACCCTCCTTGCTCTTGTCTGCACTGCCGCCGTCGGTTGCCCCGCCTTGTCTAGCAGTCACCAGCACCTCCTCCTCCTGTTGCCGACATAGCCACCACTTTCGGCCCTTCTCCTTACAGTCGTCGCCCACATCTGTTAGCCTCCCCGACACCTCCACCACTTGCTACCGCCTTTTCTCGTCACCAGCCCACACTAATTCACCATCGACGTCCGCACATACTCTATCTAGGATAACTACGGATTGTGCTAGTCTTGTTTCTTGTTTGTTTGTTTGTTTGTTTGTTCCACTGTCATGTTGAACTTTGCTTGTACTTTGATTCATGAGTAATAGTATTTGTTTATCGTCGTCGTGGGTTATGTTAACCTCGGTATCAATGTGGTTTGACAAATTTTAAAAAATTCATGTATAAAATTTGATACACAAAAAGTTAAAGAAACCATACCCTCTTCAGAAAATACACCATAGATTAAAAAATTATAATTCTTACTATCAAGATTACTAATAAAATTATTACAAGGAATGACAGTAAAAGAAATGAATCACAAAAAAAAATTACTGAAGAATTTGAAATTAAAGGGTATACTCAAATAACTTTTGGGTATAGAAGTATTTTAATTCAATAAAAAAATTTATCTTTCAAAAAACAGTATTATGGACCTATTAAGGGAAACAAAGATGAATGATCATAAACTATATGAAATTCCAACTGAACTAGCCCAAAAACTACAGATAAAAGAAGGATAAGTGGACATCGGAAATATCAAAGATTAGCTCGGAAACAGATTTATCTGTCACTTACACGCCCTCAAATTACTTTTGTAGAAATTCTAATAAGTCAGTATATGTGCAACCCTAAAGAATCTCACCTGCAAATAGTTTACAGTTTTTAGGTACTTTAAATCAAATTCATGAAGGGGAACTCTCTACAAATAAATAAATAATATATATATAATACTTACACCTTTCAAATTATATTGATGTTGAATATGTAGGATCATCAGTAAGAAATAGATCCATTTCAAAATATTATATGCTTCTAAGAGGAAATCTTATAACATAAAGAAGCAAAAAATAACTTATTGTTGTACGATGTAGCACTAAATTAGAATATAGAGCAACTGTCAACATATTGGAAGATATTTTCTTTAAAATAAACTAGAAAGTACATTGATTCGTAATCTATATATCTCAAGAGGAAGATAACTTGTTGACATTTACTAAAAGACAACACCACATTAAAGAATGTTATAAGGAAAATTGAAATGATAGATCTCTACCATCCGATTCACACAGAGCGAATGGGAGGTAGATAAGGAAAATTAGAGATCATGGATTCATTACTTGAAAGAAAACATTTCTTCCATGAACTCATATAAAAAAGGAAAGAACTAGTTCGCAGAATACTCCATTAGCATCAATCGACAACCCCTAAATGGATCATATAGAAGGATAACTAGATGCATTTTTTTTGTATTTGTTATTGTTATCATCTATTTTATTTTTTTTCTTTCTATATAGAATTGAACATAAATACCCATTGAAAGGATGAAAAATTCAAGTTTTCCTAGCCATTTCTTCTTTCTATATTATGTATTTATATATCTAACATCTAAAACTTTTTTTTTATTATTTACACAACTTCGTATATAAATCACACTAAAACATAAAGATGAAAATATATATATTTCACTTTATAAAAGTTCGTATTAGTGATATTTCTGATGTTTTTTTAAAGACTATAGTAAAGTAAAAATAAAAATGAGTGTTAAAAGTACAAATAATATAAGAATTTTGTGCTATGTATAACATCCCCTAATAAAAAAAAAGTGACCATTTCAAAAAGAAATGTGTAATTTCTACCTTTAATCAGTAATTTTTCACCATCTCTCAAAAATTGAGAATGAGAGAACTTTTAACCCTTCAAGAACACCATGGAAAACATAAAGAACGGTCGCGATAGAGGGACTCATGTTGTGCACACAAGCAAGAACCAACAGTGGATCGAATGATGAGCTGCTTGAATGAGATCTATCGAGATGGAGAAGCAAAGTTTAGTCGCTCGAACAAAATCATGTGTAGGAGCAACAAGGAAGCAGGTTCAACACCTTGTGATAGCACATGAGCACGAGAGAGAAACTAGAACCAGTTATGTGCAACTTGGGCGGTGAGATCGACTAGAGTGGAGGCAATAAGAGGGCGAACAGGCTCGAGTGTGTACATAAGAGTGCAAGCTTGAGTAGACTAGCAAGCAAGTTGAGAGGCAGATGGCTTAGAGCTGATGAGCAAACATTGATCGAGCTCACAAAAATGAATGTGAACAAGCCAAACATGAACCAAATTAAATTTTGGTATTAAATTGATGGTTTTGAGGTAAACTCAAGATTCCAGTTATATTATAAATAGGAAACTCTAGAATCAGGTTCACAACCAAAGTAAAAAATTTTTGGGCAAAATTTTGATAGGGAGATTAAAAATCAGCTTAGACATTTTGATATTTTGAAGTTGAAGCAGAAGAACATTAAGATATAATGCAAAAAACTAGAAAAATTTTATAAATTTGATAATTTAAATTTAATTTAATATTGAATAATCAATAATTTGAATATAGGTCCTAGATTTAATGAAGATAGATTAAATTAATTATCTTATAAAAATTAATATTAACTAATAAAATCATTTTTAGCAAATTTAAAGATTAAAAATTATATTTTTATTGATCAATTATGGTGCTATTAAAAATTAAAATCATTATAAATTTACGCGAGTTTTGCTATAAGTTATAATAAGAATTAATAAGTGGATGCAATATGAAAAAAATATATAATTACATAAATATCACCCAAAACATTGCTATTTCTAGCACCCAGTTGATATTTTTGAACCGTCGAACAATGCATTTATGCATACCACAATCAAAGAAATGAGGATTTGATAAAAATGAAAAACATGGACTGAGGTTTTATCATGAATTTTCATATTTGAGTGAGAATTTGAAAAATGGATGAAAGAGAGTACTAGATGTAAATAGTAATTTTTTGTGTGTTATGTATATAATTGCCCCTAAAAAAAACCAATAATAAATTCTTATCAATTAAATTAAATTAGATATTTTTATACTTTTAGTTATTTATAGGTTAATAATTGTAAATATGGTCAAGATAAAATGAATAATTAAAATATGCATCTTATGTGTTGAAGAATAACCTTTACAAGAATAAGATAAATGTAAATCAAATTTAATGAAAAGTAACATGTTAAATAAATATATTTCATAGGCATCTTATTTTAATTGTGTCGACAGGAGTATATTTGAAAGGGATAAAAATAAGATCAATAATAAGAAATACTTACACGGTAAAAATGAGGTAAGTACTTATATTTTTAAATTATGATAATATTATTATTTTTTGAACTAAATATATCAATTCATTTTGATACTTTTTCAATCAAATAATATTTCAAATCAAAACATAATTTATCTTTTCCATTGATTATTTTGATTGTGTTGAAATGAATTTTTTAGATCTCTCGGTTTGTATAATATGTTCACTGTATGCATTATTTGTTGTAAAAAGAAAATTGCATTATATGACAAATTTATGAACTTTATAAAATGTTTCATTGTTCATGTTGATTGTTGAAGTTCATTATCTTATGATACTGAAGATGCTAAAATATACATGCAAGTAAACAAGAAAATGATGATAATATTGAAGTATCTTACTTGATATAGTTTAAATAATGCTCCTGTGATAGATAAACTATTTAAAAAACATTGATATGATATGATATTGTCATAATTAAACACGTTGGCACTGTCATATTTGAATAAACAAGTAGTTATATTTTGAATTTTAACTAACACGCATATTATCTCTTAAATTTACTTATATTATTGTAAGTTTGAGGATATAAGTATTCACTAAGTTTTTGATAACTCACGATAACTTAAACTAAGATTTTCATGTTTCAGTTTTGAAATAGAAAATGAGTGAAAGAAGAGAAAATATTTATAAAAGATGTGACTAAAATAATGTACTTACATCACAATTATTTTACTCTAAATTGAATTAGATTTTATTCATTAGTGTCTCTTTCGATTTATCTAATGATTATTTTTATGAGTAGAGATAGAAATTGAAATTTGAATTCATTCATCTAATCATTTATCGCCACCTTGATAATTTCAAGCTCCAAGTCAAATTGCAATTGTCATCCCCTTTCTTACACTCTCTAACAAATGTTATTAATTAATAATTTAGATCATATTCAATAGTTCATATGAGATGCAAATCCTGTGGACCTTGGTACCTAATATCATAGTTAAGCAAGTTGTAAAATGGGCTACTCCAACAATGGCACCTCGTGAGCACTTAGATGTGTGATAATTTGTAATCAAAAAATCATCCAATCAAGTGATACTGCTACTGAGAAGCAGTGAAAAGCACTCAAGTTAAAGGAAGATAATAAAGGCAAGTGAGGGTATTAGGTTTATTCTTATATTAGACGGTTGAAAAATATGTTAATATAGAAATAACAAGTTTGACCTTGTTCCATGGACATAAAAGCTTTTAGGTTCAAATTATGATTGGCCATTAGTATATGAGCCCCAACTTCAGTATCCCTTTAGTTCATGCTCCCTAACATGATACTCGCAGCTCAAAATAAAATATTTATAAAAACCAAGATCATAAAGGGTTAGTGTTATGTAGAATCAAATCAATTTAAACTGAAAGAGATATATTATTTTCCTTTTTCTCACAGAGTACAGAATATTGTAGCTCCGATGCCACACAAATTCAAAGAGAGAAAACATGAAATGCTCCCTCACAAGGAAGCGCCCTACAAAAGCTTACTGAAGTTTTGAATTAAAAAATTTCTCATTTGGTTCATAATTTCAAGTTGATTTGATAGGCAAATCAAGTAGATAGCATATGTTGCAGTAAAAATTCCATAATCAATAACCAAAAGACATGGCACTTCTAAATGCCTGAATTGGAATAGGAGCTAATCTGCACTTACGTTGAACTTTCAAGGTTTGAAAGAACATCATCGGATTCTTTCTTTTCAACTTTTGCACCTAAACAAAGAAAGAAATTTTTAAGATGGAAGGGCCTATAATAATAATAATAATGGACTCCGATGATAAAAATGAATATAGTAAATCTGCCAATAATATAGACAGCTCTGCATAAATAACTTGTATGATCATACCTTCAGCTGATGAGTCTGGAAGATACTTCGCAAGTCGGTACTTCTGCATGATCAAATTAATGATGTTAGACACAACTAAGACAATACAAAAAAGCACAGTGAAAAATAACATGTGGGTTTAAAAGCCATCGTCTCCTCTACATACCTGCAAGTGGCTCTTCACGTGGTATATTGTCAAACCTTGCACACCCATAACCCTAAGGACACCTTTAGGAGTGGCTCCTGAAACAATGAAAGAACATTCTATAACTATAAAAAACCAATACCATCAAGTTTATGAAATCCAAAAAACAATTGTCTTGACTTGAATAAAATTTTTTTTTCAGTGTGTAGCAATTTAGGCAAGATGAACGATGGAATTTTTACAAAATAGCACTAAAAAAAATGGTGATTTATCATGAGTTTGAAATTAAGGAGCACTCACTATCTGGTCCTCCGAGTTGAGCGACGGCATCCACAAATCGCTCGTGGAGTTCATTTGTCCAGCGCAGTCTCTGCCTTGAGGCAGAACTTGGGTTATTTGGGTTATTTCCTGCAGCATGTGGGGACATAGCAGTGCTATTCATTTCGACAGGCTGATCATGAGCCAGAGAAGGGTAGTTTGCTAGGCTTATATTAGAAAGGGAAGGTTGATACATTTGTCATCCTGTGTGAAATCAATAAGTAAAACTAGTTAGAAGGCACATTTGCGTGCAAGGTAGGTAAGAAAAAAGTCAATAGAGTGGGCATCAAATATAAAAGTTAATGTACAAAGTGTAGTACAAGTAAAAAGAAAATTTCATGATATAGAAATAGAAAGCATAAAGCTACATTATCCTTATCTCTTGACCCTTAACACCCTGACACTCCGCTCAGTCGCCAACACTTTCAACCACAACAGCTACGAGATTGTACAATGAATTTCAATGCTCTGGCTTCAAGTTCAGGCATCGGCTAATATTTTGTAAATGAGCAAATAATCAAAAATGATCCCTAAATTTTTTAGGTGTTTCTAATTTTAGTCTCACACTATTTTAGATATTCAATATTGCCCTCAACTATGCTTAAGCTGATGGAGTAACCCTAAAAAGTCCAAAATGCCCTCATGAAAAGCTTTCCTCCACCAATGTTTTAAAAAAATGGTGAACTTGCCATTAGAGCAACACAGACTTTTCAGGGTCTATTCATTATTTACTATCAGCTTAAACAGATTGATTAACCCTAACAAGTACAAAATGCCCTCATAAAAAGCTTTGCTAGACCAAATTTTTTAAAAAAAAAGATAAAATTAATGGTAAACTAAAATAATTTAAATTTGGCGAGTTGAGGTGCAAGGCTTAGACTAAAATAGACACACGTAAGAATCTATTCCTCTTTTTAAAATTTGGTAAGCACGTTGAAATTAACATGCACTATTTACACAACTAACGAGCTTGCAATTTATTCAGCAAATCCATATGGTATCCTACAAGAGTCAATTTATTTCATTGTAAGTAATTGAATCTCAGTTTTGGAAGAGTGTTGTCAGGATCATATTAATTTTGTAAGAAATCACTTCTGTAAACTAAGTTCCTTTATTGTTTTAGGCCACAATGAGTTTCATTTTTATTCACACTCATATAACTTTTTAATTATTATTTTAAACAATTGTAGTATTAAAACTCACCATCACAGTAAATTAATAATAACATATTGTTATTGAAAATTAAATAAAAACAAAGGTAAGTTCTTAGCCCTCAAGAGTGTAACCCAATTATCTTTTTCAAGGTGAGTTTCAAAAACGGGAACTTAATTCCATCCAATTTTAATCAAACAAATGCTTAAAATCACTTTTGTAGGTGACTTCTGAATACTTATGATGAAACAAAGTAGCCCTAAATGTAACTATAAGAGATATTAAATGTAAATTGATATAATGAAAGTTAACCTAAAGAAGAGCAACAGCTAATTGAAAATGTAATAAATTAAACACATTTAATATAAATTTAATACAAAACGAAAAAATAATAAAATAAAGAACAAGACAACTTTCAAGCATATGTGCATGATTAAGTTTATGTTAACATTTGTTCACTTTATAGGAATAAAGTAAAAGTTGCAAGTTGCCACCCAATATCAAGACCATTTATGCTCATCCTTCCATCAATATGATGTTGTATCACTTGCTAAATAATGTTAACTTTAGACCTTAATAACATATATCTTCAAGGCTAAACAGAGCTCATAGTGATAATTCTAATATACTAGAACAACTCAATCTAAATGTTGAATGGTTGAAACATGCAACATAATAATACTTTTCAAAGGGAGGACGGGATCTTGATAATCACCGAGCAATGCCAAGTGCATGGAGATTGATATATGAAATAATTTGGATAATATAAAAAATTTATTGTTCACATGCAAAATAATAATACTTTTCAAAGGGAAGACGGGATCTTGATAATCACCGAGCAATGCCAAGTGCATGGAGATTGATATATGAAATAATTTGGATAATATAAAAAATTTATTGTTCACATAGATGATAACTTCAACAATAAGATTTTCTTTCTCCACTACATATACACATAATGAGGCATATCCAAATTCAAATTTGAAATGAAAATCCTAGCAATCCTTTATTTTATCTCCTAATCCTCAAACTTGATTTCCTCCAATAAACTAGTACCAAATATTCTGCATAATATAACTAAGATCTTATGGACCTAGATGCAATTTCGATATCTGCATTAAATTGATTAACTGTCCATAAAATTTGAATTTTGCAAGCAAGAGCAATCTATTTTTAGTTGAATAACTTAATATAACATTCATGTCATCCGTCAAATAGGCATATCATTTTAATAACAAAAAGTTTAAATAAATAGCTAGAATAATAATATCATCATGATCATGAATACATCTAATAGATGGTTTAGCACCATTGATGATAATTTCACTAGAAATATTAAAATAAATCAATTATACAAGATAGAAAATATAGAGATTACCATGATTCCCATTTTTATAATGTTTATATTGATATGAGCTACGTATTTACATTTAATGGTCAACAAAATTTCAACAGTTTATTAGAACAAAAAGCTTATTTTGATAATATATTAACTGCCACATAAGTAGATAACTATGAAAGATGTTTTAGATTTATACTAAATTTGCAAGCTCTACTAAAATATTTTGGAAAAGGTCTAGACTATTAGTATCTTATTAATACATAAATTAGGCTAAAATATAAACCTACAAAAATATTTGACACGGAAAGATATAAGCAAATCAATTGAACAACTTCTAAACCTTAGGAAAAAAACTTGAAGGGTATTAAAAATAATATTAAGGTAAAAATAAATTTATTATAATGAAATAATAAATAAGCCTTATTTTATAAAGTTACACAGTGAACTATAACTTGACTATAGTCATGCTAAAAACGTTATGTACAAAAACAGTAAAAAATCATAGCAAAAAAGACCTAGAAAAAGAATTCCATAACCTTAGAGAAGAAGACTTCCCTAATAAAGGAGGAGCCAATTTTAGTACTTGTACAACTAACAATAACGAGAAGAGAAATGAGAAAATCTTATTAAAAAGTTTAGGCTCATAAATTTCAGATATAAAAACCAAATCTAGCATTGCTCCAGGTGGCCCTTGCAAGAGATTGAAGCTTAGATAATCATCTTACCAAGCCAAATTGGTGGACCAGAAATGTTTTACAAATATTGGGATAACCTTAGGGTTAGCCACTTCAACCCCAAATGTAGACCCAAAGTTCAAAGCAAAATTAGGACAAAATCAAGACAATCTCATGAAGTATAAAGGTGCACATATGGAGATATAATGGGGGACAACTTGTAAAATTAAATCATACATGGAAGGATCAAACAAAAATGGAGCAACCAAAGTTTAAATGAGTTAAAACTACCTCCAGCCTATTAGAACAAGAAAGATGATTACATGAATCAAAGAAAACCAAATATTTTTTCAACAAATTGCTTTGCAAAATCCATGTAATATGGCCAGCCAAGCAAGATTCAAGGAAGTGCTTTTAATAATTCAAAAGATACTTTCACAGTTTTAAGATCTGGTTAGTAAGTGAGGTTACATTTTAAGTAAAATCACTTATTTAATAAATTTTTATTATCTTTCTAGATTATTTTTATTGATTCCTAGGACTATTAAAAGGGGTCTATTGCAATCATTTTTCAATCATTTAAGAATTCATTTCATGATACAAAACATAAAAATTAAACTCCTATCTCTCTCCCTCCATCATACATAAACCTAAAATCTTGCAAATTTCAGCAAATATTTACCTCCCTCTCCAAAACCCTAAGCCTATCACATCTCTATCCACCTCTAAATGTGATATCTCCCTATGCAATCTACTGCTACAAAAATTAAGAGGAAGAGAGGAAGGTCTTGGTGGCTTGAACCATTCAAGGAGGGTAGAATGGAAGCATATCCTAGAAGATGATCAGAAAGGAGAAGAGGTCATCATTAAGAACCAAGAAAGCATCACAAATGAGAAAATTTAAGCAAGACCAGCGAGCAACAAGCTATCTCCAAGAAAAGATCATCATTCCACCAGGGTAAAGCTTCATAACTTCTAGTTTTGCCTGTGAATGACAATGTTTTACTCTCAAGTACATCCCTATAATCCAAAATATTAATATCATTTTGATGTTCAAAAAATCAAGCAATCCATAACTTTGAGTATTTTGAAAACCCTACACCCCCTTTACAGGTTCAATCCCGGATCAAGCATGATGAGAAACTTAATGAAAATTAAATAAAATATTACAATACTAAAGAATAATTCGGTCAACATAAAAGTCATGGAGAGCAGTATAATCATCAATTCAAGTACAACAAAAAAGTTTTTGCAGATCTTTCTCTAAACTACCAACTAAACGATGTGAAAACGAAAGCTCCAGACCCCAAGTTATAAAAAACTAAGAGAAGAGAACAATAAAGAAAAAGAAAAACGAAATTCACAGAACAAGCAGCAGCGGGATTCCCAAAAACCGACACACCAAACCACATCACATATAAAAATGGCTCAAATCCTTGCAGTGATGGGCCAAGTAGTTATCGCCCATCTGGTTCTCTATGCTCACTTTCACAAAAATCAATAGATTCCAAAGCCCCAAACAGTCAAACACCAACACAATAACTACAGAAAATTAGAATCAAACCAGAAATAAGTGCAGAGAATGATAAATGCCCCGTTCACAAAACAGCAGAATCCCCAATTCAGCACTCCGCGCAATCAAAACCAAAAAATCTCGAGATAAAATGGTAATAGATGAATCATTTAGCAAAAATTCTGCCAAATTTTACACGTAGCAGAAATCTGAGGAAGGCATTTGGTGGCTTTCGTCCACGGAAATAGAAGGCCATGGAGGCCTCTCGCTTTCCGGCCAGGGCTCTCTCGTCTCACCCCGTTGGAAGCTACTTCCTGACGGCTGATAACGGCATCTTGCGAAAGTATTCCGTTACGTGACGGCTGTTATGGGCTCGCAGGCGGAAAACACGAGGGCTAGGTGTTGTCCTCTAATGGCGGATTAGGGTTGATCCTGTCGGTTGAAAGATTCTAATCTCTGCGGTCCGCTTTTTGTCGCCACCAATTCAGATTATAGAAGGAAGAAAATATGATGAAGTGCACTAATAAATATTTCATAATTATTAAATATAATAAATATTATAGTAAATGAGAATTTATACATCTTATTTATTTTTATTTCTTTTACTTGTATCTTTATATCTTTTTAATAAAACACTCTAATAAAAAAATTATATCCAATTTATCATTAAAATTGATTTATTTAAAGTAAGATATTTTATGTATATATTTTAATGTGATTTGAATATTATGGTATTATATAAATAGCAATATATATAAAAATATAGATGTTATTTTAAAACACTTACTATTTCAAAAAATTGCTTTATGACAAAATTTAATAAAGGAAAAGCGTCTCTTTTGTGGCCGTAAATTCTTTTATTCCCATTCCAATGAAATCTCATTAAAACCAATACACTTCAATTATAAGAGTTTCGAGATTTTTGACTCGAGCGAACTGATTGACTTTAGTTGGTTAGGCGAGCGATACCAAAGTTGTCATAACATGCAATTATTACATGGGGTGAATGTAAGTGCAGATCAATGGTATTGTGATGGTATTATCGTGGCATTATGATCGTAGTGTCACGATACTGTCACAATACCACTGCAAATACCACTAATCTGCCCCTACTTTCACCGCACCTAATATTTCCACATCCTTTACAGGAAAGATTATTGTTTGCGGACACCACACTCAAAATTTGTGTGTGGTGTCGGATCAGCACCGTAAAAAATTATAGAGTAGGCCTCATTCTAACAAAATATATATATATATAT